CCCCACACACACACACACACACACACACACACACACACAGCACTTGGCAGGTAGTGATTGTGATTCTGGCCTGAATTAAGCCGAGCGGGGGCATGTTGTGCTTACGGGACTGGCCCAGAGCGAGCAGCGGTGCCTCTGAGTGGCTCTGACGGACGGGAACAAAGAACCGCAGAACACACACAGAGTGGCCCCTCTAACCACTCACCGGCTCACCTCCACAGTCATTTGCGTCCGATGCCACCGCTGTCAGTTGCGACAGAGCTCGTTGCGTGAGCCTCTGCGCTTTTTGTGTGTGTGTGCGCAGCGCAGGGGGGGGGCACTGAGTTCTTTCGGGCGCTCGAGCGTGGGCACGCGCCGTCGGCCAAACTCCACCCCGCTACGCCCCCTACCGCTCCCTGGGTGCCGGCCGCGGAGAGCAGATATGAAACTTGACACCACGGCAGGAGGTTGACAAAGACGATTAGAGCATCTCCCTGAACCCCACACACCTCTACCTTCTCCCCTCTCTCTCCCTCCTCTGCTGCGGTCTAATTACGCCCTCACAGAGAGGATCTACATAACGACACAGGCAGGGATACAGAGGATTATACCCTGTGCTGCGCCTCAGTCCGTGCACCCCTTCTTCATCACGTCCTTGTGGATAACTTGGCCTGTCCTGAAAAGGAACACGCCCGAGGCCATGCTCAGCTTAAGAAGAAACGTCGCTACCTCCATGGCTTTAAACCATGATGACCGTATCAGTTACTTTTCACATGTTAAGAAATGGTGACAACAACAAAAAAACACATTTGTGGACAAATGTGCAATTATGGTAGATGAAAATGCTTTGTAACATATATATCTGTTGAACGAATCGCCCCTTGAAGCAAAGCTGAGCACGGCAGCTAGAATGCTGAGGCTGACGGGAGACAACACAACAGGTTAGATTAGATTATTTCCTTAAAATAGGTTGTGGGCCTTGTGTATGAATTATATATGAATTGCATACTATTTCTATACACGTAAATATTTTTAATTGTTATTCGTTTTTTCGACCTGGTTGGACAGATTATTAAAATGTTATAAATGGAAATCTGAAGCATAGCTAGTTTGGTATTTAACAAAAAAAAAAAAATATATATATCCTTTTTTTGTTTTTTTAAATGAAAGAAAACTCACTATTAACTGTATTAACAAGTGTAATTCCTGCAAACTACTGAGGTAATACTGTACAAGTTATGATGCATGGTATTAGTCTGTTTAGCGAATACGTGTATCCCTATTAAAAAAACAACATAAAAGTGAATTTATAATTTTGTCACCTTTAATGATCTGTTCAAACACAAACTGCCCTGATGAAATAGTGAATATTAACAATAATAACTCATAGAAGTACTTTTATTTTCTCCATTGTGCTCCAATTTCACTCAGAGAGTTAGAAATACCGTAAGTGTTGTTCATTTTCACTAGTCAGAGTTTATTTGATGCACAACAATCTACATTACTTTACTACACTGGCTACCACTGTATAGGAACATAAAGCATCACCAAATGTCCCAAGAGCACCGGTGATACCCGGAGTACGTTCCTTTTTCTCAGATGGTCTGATTTCTGGCTGTTTGGGCTCGCCGGGGTTCAAATCAAAACGGGAAAGCCAGAGAACAGGTCTGACACTAAAAGAAGGGAGCGACATATGGAACGCTAAATATTCTCCGCTACACCTCTGCTCTAATAAAGCAGAGATGCAATTAGCTTCCACCGCAGAAGCTAAAGAGCAAAATCTCAGTTATTGGTTGGGGCTGGCTCGGGGACATGGAGCCGCCAGGCTCCCATGGATACATATGCATGTCGTTTCCATATCAAGCTTGTGTTTCAGGCGAGGGCGCACGCCATAGGTGGTGAGAGGATTGACATTTAGAGGCTGTGCGTGTTTGAGCGTGTGGATGGACAGGGGGGGTGGGTGCATTCACCATCACCAGCATCAATACAGCAGCAACCCCCTACCCCTGTGGATGAAGGTCCCGGTGCCCAGGCGTTGGCGGGGCTGATTGATCCCTGTGACTAACACCCAGGCCGTGCAAGTGCAGGCTTGCTGCGCCCAACACCGAGAGCCGCGGACCCCTGGAGAAGAACTCTCCATGAGGCAGCCGATGGGATGTTTTATGACCCGATGGATGGAGGCACCGGTGGCACGAGAGGGGCCAATAAAGCCAGCAACAAAAGCGTCTCCGTGTTTATTAAGTGACCATTAATTCAATGGACCACCCGCACTCGAGCTGTTCATCCTGCCTGGGTGTGTTATAGATGTTTTGATGAAGACGTACGCCACAAATACGTTGGTTTGATGTGGCTCGTCTAGAACAATATATTCCAGACATTCCTATTGTTAAAGTGCCACTAATTTTCTCTCTTTATAGTGGCACCCACTCCAAACACAAGCTAGTCTTGTGGCTGCTGTGCTTCCAAGTCTCTGCATCAACCAGTTTTTGGGAGGTAGTTTTGAGGTCTAATTGAGTCCAATTTTATTTGTAAAGCCTGTTTTTTTTTTACATCACATAGCAATTTAAAGAGCAACAAAGGATTTAATCACAAAGGCAGAATGAACTCACTTTGCTGGATGGGAAAAAAAAGGCTGGTGGGCTAAAAACCCACTGGCAACATTGACTGGCAAACAAAAAAAAAAGCGTTTGCTCCGAGTGCGTTATCTGTGCGCATCGTTTTCCCGTGTTTTTGAACGCACGCGGATGTGTGTGTCCACCGCGTAGGGAACAGGGGTCGAAATTCGAGGGGGGTGGGGGGGCTGAGCTCGGAGGGTTGGCAGAGGGCTGAGGGCCTCGGCTGGCTCGCCTGTGATTACAGCGGATGTTGAGTGTTTACAGAGAGATGAAGGGGGTGGGGGGGGCACAGAGACAGCTGCTTTCACTCTGTACTGTAAACTACTACACACACTCACACACACACACAGAGCCACACAAGCACTTACACAGAAGGCTGGAGCTGCACTGGAAAACCCCACAAGCCCCGCAGTGTGTATATACATGTGTGTGTTTGTACTACAGCTGGCCTGCTGGGACCGGTGGCTCGGAGTGACAGCCGTACACACACATGGACGCGGCGCAGGCCCGGTGGGACGAGAGGCTGGTGGACGCTGACCGACCAGGCAGGAAGTACTTTTTCTTTCTTTTTTTCCTTTCTCACGATCATTTTCACGCTTTTTGACGTTTTGCTCCTCTTTCATGTTTGACTTTTGCTGAAAAGTAGCAAAAGGTCATGGGAAAACATGTTTTGTGTATGAATCGCACCTGAGCAGTTGAAAATAAATATAACTTGCAAAGTTTGCGGTGCGGACTAAGAATGAAGACGATAGTAAAAATATATTTGTGTAGCAGTTTCCAAGACTGAAGAAGAGCGAAACAACAAGAAACAAATGAGAGACGAAGATAAAGTTGAATGATCGGCTTCGGCGACCTCAAATTTGACTGAAATTTGAGTCGAGTAGGTTCAGCGGGAGCGCGTCGTCGGAACAAAGCAGGCTACACGCACGTGGGGACCAATGCATGGATTCGGGGACTTGGCTTGTCCAACACATAAGTGCAGAGCAGGCAGATCATCACGTGACCTTGATTAAAGGGAATCTACGCTGCGGAATGTCAGTGGCGTGCCTCTTCCGGGACAGTGGTGCTGTGCGTTATTGGGCTTATGTCGAAACCGGCGCGTCTGTGTGTGCCGAGGGGGGCGGGGGGGTGGCTGTGATCACCGCGGGGGGAGAGAGAGAGAGCGGTCGACAGTAACAAGTGAGCCTGACAGCTTAATTACCAACGCAGCTAAAGATTTATTGATTTATCAATCAGGGCCTCGGGGGGCGGCAGCCTTTCCCCCTTCGGGAGACGGCAGCCATTACCGCGAACCCGTTGGCCTGCATGACCTAGACTCCTCTGGACACCCCCCTCCCCCCGGGTCACACCAGGCCAACCCTGAAAACCCCTGCTCCTGTCAGCACACGCATACACACATTTTGACACATAAACAATACTCTCAGATCTTTAGGGATATACACATATGTTCATGTGCATCCAAGCAGGGACACAAACACGAACAAACAAGAGAGGCGTATATGCAAACACACACCAGCACGCATATGCTGCACA